GGTTTTATTTGCGTTACCCCCAAAGCAGGCCTTGTGATGAGGATTCAAGTGTACATAGTTTATTGGGGAGAGATTCCAGGAAACACAGGAGGGGAGTGAGGATGTGAGACGAGGAAGAGAAGGAAGCCATGAATATGCATGATCCACCAAGTCACCACTGTGGGCAGCTGCAGATGAATCCCACTGGGGAGCGCAGTGTGGAACCCGGCCTCAGAGTTATACCCCCGAGAGGTAAGGGAGCTGGGGCATTTGTCTACCAACTCTTTATCCGCCATCTTGCATCAGTCATTCTCTGAGCGCTGCTACAGGGGATGTTAGTTCCCTGGCACTTTTGGCCTGTCCTGTGTGTGGGTGGAGCAGTCTCTGATGGCCAGAACCCTCTGATAGAGAGTCCTGGGGCTGGCAGTTGGAGGTCGGGCTGGTGTATGTGACAGCGGCATGTGCTGAGGCAGGGTACCAATAGCATCTGCTATGGCGGGCTGCCTGGCTCCCATGGCTTCACCATGCAGTGGGCGCCCAGCCCCTGTGAATTGTTGAGTATCCTTCTTACTACTGAAAGGAATTCCAGGCCTCATCCATTGCTAGTGGGAATGTAAACGGTGCAGCTACTGTGGAAAACAATTTGGACGTTCCTTAATAAATTAAACTTAGAATTACCATAGGACCCAGAAATTCCGCTCCTGGTATATGCCCAAAAGAATTGAAAGCAAGTGTTCAAACAAAAATTTTTGTACAAATGTTCATAGCAGTACTATTCACAATAGCCAAAAGGGGGAAACAACCCAAATGTTCATCAACTGAGGAATGGATAAACAAAATGTAGCATATCCATACAGTAGAACATTACTCAGTCATGAGAAGGGATTAAGTATAATACATGTTACAGCATGGATGAACCTTGAAAACATTATGTTGAGTGAAAGAAGCCAGACCCAAAGATCACATATTGTATGATTCTATTTTTGTGCAATATCCAGAATAGGCAAATACGGAGATAGACAGTGGATTAGTGGTTGCCAGAGGCTGGGGGAGGAGAGAATGGGGAGTGACTACTTAATGAGTATGAGTTTCCTTTGGGGGTGATGAAAATGTTCTGGAAAGAGATAGTGGTGCTGGTTGTACCATATTGTGAATGTACCTAATGCTGCTGATTTATATACTTGAAAATGGTTAAAATGATACATTTTATGTTGTATGTATTTTACTACAATTAAAAAAAAGAAAAACAATCCAGGTATTCACAGCCTGAGTTGCAGGGTATGCTGTCTGTTTCTTGGATGGGAAACACCCGCAGGATGTGGTGTGTGTATGCCAGGGTCACACAGCCAGGGGCGGTTCCCCTGAGGGGCTGCTTCTGGGGGTGTTGGACTGGGGTTGGGCCCCACAGACTGGCCTCGTTCCTATATGAATGGTACAGACAGAGGCTGTCGGAAGCCTCCCTGGTGGAGAAATGAGCCCGCGTCCTGGAGAAGCCAGAGCTGTGCCCGGCTTCTGCAGAGTGGCAGAACAGTGCTGGGCGGGGGAGTACGTGCCCAGCTGGAAAATCGTGGGGTGTCTTGTCTTAAATATAAGATTAAATTGGCACCTTTAATTAGTACACTTAGAAAAGGTCACTAGCAATTACCTGGGACACAAAGAAGGCGTGAGCAGGCACGAGCCCATGAGGAAGCCGAAAAGGACCATTTTGAGCAGCACATAATTGAGGGGAAAATGGATAAAAGTCCAGGAAATTACAGGGTGGGTGACAGCAGCTGATGGCCCCATCGTTGTTTTGCCCGGTGCCCCCCTTCTTGGGAGGGCCTGAGCCTCGGGCCTGGGAGAGCCATTTGGGATATTGGGCCGAGTCGTGCGACCTTGGCTGGAGGGCCAGTGTGGCCTTCCCAGAATCCCATTGGGCAGCCGGGAGCTTGGCCCCCTATCCCCCACCTGCACTGGGCCCTGAAGGAGGTTGGCAGGTGAGATTGTCAGTCTGGTGGCTGCCGTGGACTCATTGCTGTACCGTGGACGAGCAGGGCCTCAGTTTCCTCAGGTGGAATCTCCCGAAGTCACTGAGAAATAGCTCAGTGTTCTTCAAACTCTGACACTAAAGGACCCCTGAGCCTAAGGGAAAGGAAATGTGTATCCCTGGACGTCAGGGGAAGCCTGGAAATTCTTTTAGAGCTTTAGGTTGTGTCTGTTTTTATTTTTTTAGTGAGGAAGGTTAGCTCTGAGCTAACATCTGTGCCCATCTTCCTCTATTTTGTATGTGGGATGCTGCCACAGCATGGCTTGATGAGCAGTGTGTGGGTCCGTGCCCGGGATCGGAACCTGCGAACCGCAGGCCACCAAAGCAGAGCGTGTGAACTTAACCACTATGCCACCAGGACAGTCCAGGTTGTGTCTTAAAAAATAAATTAGGGGCCGTCCCGGTGGTGCAAGCAGTTAAGTGCACGCGCTCCGCTGCAGCGGCCCAGGGTTTGCCGGTTCAGATCCCGGGCGCTCACTGACGCGCCGCTTGTCAAGCCATGCTGTGGCGGCATCCCATATAAAGTGGAGGAAGATGGGCATGGATGTTAGCCCAGGGCCAGTCTTCCTCAGCAAAAAAAGAGGACGATTGGCAGATGTTAGCTCAGGGCCGATGTTCCTCACAAAAAAATTAATTAATTAATTAATTAATTAAATGTTACATAGTGCTCCCAATATATTCCCATTTGTTTTAGTATAAAATAATTGCTTGTCATTGAGCAACACAGAGGCTTCAGGAAGATACTCTTGGTTTATCTATGACTTCACATACCCTCTCCTTCCTCATCTAGAAAGAACACTGTACTGGGAGTCTGGAAGCTTGGGCTCGAGTCCTGACTGTTGCTCAGCGTCGTACTTTGGGCAAATTGCTAAATACCTTCAGCTTCTCCATCTTTAAAATGGGAAAGTTGGCCTCCCCAAAAAGGTCTCTGTTCCATGATTTCACTCCTCCTTCTCCCACTTCTCACCTCCTCCCATCACTTTGCATGCTGCCATGTCCTACTCTGCTGTGTGACCTTGGATAGGCTACTTTGCCTCGCTGAGCCTCAACTTTCTAATCTGTAGAGTGGGTAGAATAATGACTACCAAACAGAGTTGCTGAGAGGATTTAATGAGAGAACCCATGTGAATGCCTAGCACCAAGTCTGGCATATCATAAGAGCTGTGATTGCTGCCCAGTATCTTCCTTTTCCGTTGGGCTTCCAGTTAGGGTCTGATGGGGTTGTGTCCATACAAGTCCTGAATCTTGAGTTCACGTATAAAGTGCTGAGATGTGTAAGGTTGTGGAAACAAACGTGGGCTCCGGGCCCAGGATGCCTGGGCTTTGAATTCCAGCTCCGCCGTTTGCTGCCTGTGTGGCTGTGGTAAATTACTTCATCACTCTTCGTTACCTTATCTGTTAAATGGAGAGAATAAGAGCAAGGACTGAATGAGACAGAACATGGAAATCCCTTTGCCCAGCATCTAGAGTGTGGCTAGTGCTCAGAAATGTTAGCTATCACTGTCATGCTAGAGTTGTCCTTTTAAAAGTTCACTTAGAAAAGCTCATTAGCATTCTTTTCTAGATAAAATTCCTGGGATTTGGAATTCTTTTTCAGAGCTATTCAGTAAATATGAGAGTCAGTATTGGGGAAGAAAGAATGTTCGTTCCATTTTATAGGGTAAACTGAGGCCTTGAAAGAAGTGATTTGCCCAAGGCCCTGGGTCTACTCTGACCACTCCTTTGAGAATCAGGTGAAGACTGTAGACCCCCTGCAGAAAATGACACACTGCACATGCATAGCATTTTGCACACTTTCTGGGGGTTTCAAGACCTCCTGGAGCTAAGATGATCAGCGATCCAGTGGCCTAGGACCTCCTGGTTTTAGTGTGTGTCCTTCCTCAGTCCTAGACAGACCAGGTGGTTGGTCATCCCACCTGATTGCTTCCTGGGGGGCTGGGAACCCCGGGAGGAGATGCCCAACTCTGGACTTCTGAGGCGGGGCTGTGGGCCAGGCATCCTAATGCCCAGGGTGGCCTCTGACCAGGGCTTTGTTTCCTGGTGAAGGGTGACACCTAGATCCCCTTCTGGTGGACAGGAGCTAGACCTTGTCACCCAGTTCTAGACTGGGGTTCCTTGATGCTGGGCCACATCTTTCTAACCTCTGTGTACTCCAGTGCTTACACAAGGCCAACACTTAGTCACTATTGAATGAATGCTAGGTTTTGCAAAATATTCTGAACTGAAAGGGTGCTTCCGCTTGCAAAAGACAGAAATCCAACTCGACTGACTTGGGCAAAAGGGGAGATTTATTAGCTCATTGAGCTGAGCAGTCCAAAGGATGGAGCTGATATCAGGCACAGCTGGCTCAGACCCTCCAACCCTCAGGGAGTCTCTCTCCATGCACCATTTGGCTCTGTTTCCCTCCTTGTTGGCTTCAGTCTCAGGCAGGCTCTTCCTGTGTGGTGCCAAAGATGGCTGCCAGCAGTGCCAGTTGAGCAACCCTAGCGGAAAGAGACCTCCTCTTTATCAATAGTTCCAGCAAAAGTTCCAGAGCTGGCTTTGATTGCCCATTTTGGGTCACTTGCTTGTTCCTGAGCCAATCGTTGTGACCAGGCAGATGGAATGCTCTGGTTGGCTTGGACTGAGTCACGTGCCCATCTTGGAACATAAGAATTGAAGGGTTGGTGGACCTGCCCTCATCTGAGCCACTTGGAAAAGGGGGTCTCCAAATTATAGTCAGGAAAAGGGGGGCAGGCAGAAGTCATAGCTGTCCATCACATACCCAGAACAGTGGTGTTACAGGCACGTACACACTGTGACAAGTGGCCAGGGTGGAGGCAGGGAGCCTGGGTCAGAGCCCAGAGATGCGCAGGGTCTTGCTGGCGTGACCTGCTGGTGGTCTGTAGGGTGGCTGCTCCCAGCTGGGAGTTCAGCCGCCTGAGCGAGGTGCTGAGGAATGGACCTGACCTCCCGTTGTTGCCCTCTGCTCTCTCCTGCGGACGCTCCAGGCTCCTCTGTGACCCAGCTGCTGGCCCGAGACATGGACAATGACCCCCTGGTGTTTGGCGTGTCTGGGGAGGAGGCTTCCCGCTTCTTTGCCGTGGAGCCTGACACAGGCGTGGTGTGGCTCCGGCAGCCGCTGGACAGAGAGGTATGATCCACCCGGAGCCCTGCCCTGGTCCTCTCCTGGGGCGCGGGAGCAGACACTGGGGGAGGGTGGCTCATCAGCTTTTAGGGGCCTTCCTCTGAGGCCCATTCTAACCCTGAAGTAGCACCTTCCTGCCTGAATGGCGTCCCTCCTCAAGGGCCAGTGCTGATGTCTGCACTTGGGGCCAGAATGGGGTGGTTGGGGGTGTCTCCAAGCGAGGGGCAACATTGCACAGGCAAGAGGGCCAATGACCCGAGGTTCATCCCCTGTAGAATGGGGGCTCCGTGGGGTATACAAGTCTACCCCTGCCCCGAACAAATGTTCCCCCAAAGGACATTTTCCAGAGATGCCGGAATTGATGACACATTAGCCTTTAGCAAATTAAGGTGAGAGTTTGAACGAAACCCCAACCCCTGTCCTCTCCTTACATTTGAGGAAATGGACACAGAAGTGTCTAGCAACTTGCTCAAGATCACAGAGAAATTTAGAGGCAGAGCCCAGATTAGAACCCAAGATTCTTGACTTCCAATCTATTGCTCTTTTATGGGAAAGATCCATATTCTGAACCTGCTTCCCCAACCTAAAGGTCAATGCTCGTTTTTTAGGGAAGCCTTTGGATAGCCAGTCCCAGACCAGCTCCTGGGGCAGTGCTGGAGGGTCTCCAGCCCAGTTGGGGCTCAGGACCCAGGACCTCAGCTTGCCTAACTTTACCTCCTCTCTCTTTCAGACCAAGTCAGAGTTCACAGTGGAGTTCTCTGTCAGCGACCACCAGGGGGTGAGTGTCCCCGGAGGCCCCTGCTGCCCTGGGAGGCGTGTGGGTGGAAAGAGGTGGGAGGCCAACACCAAGGCTGACTCCTCGCCCTTCTCTTGCCAGGTGATCACGCGGAAGGTGAACATCCAGGTCGGGGACGTGAATGACAATGCGCCCACCTTTCACAATCAGCCCTACAGTGTCCGCATCCCTGAGGTAGGAGCCCCAGGCTCACACTTGGGGACATCAGGGGCCTGCTGCTCCCTGGCCACGTGGGAGTAGACTGAAGCGGGAGAAAGGGCAGCCCCAGCCCTTCTCCTGCCCTCCCCTCAGCCCAGGCACCAGCCCCGGGCAGGTGAACCTGTGGCACCTCTGGGGGTGGGGGCCCATGCGCTGGGGAGGAGAGTGGGTTGAGGAGCCTTGTGCCTGAGAGAGCACCTGCATCGGTCGAGCCCCACAACGCCTGCCAGAGTCAGGGATGGGACAGGGGCAGGTGTTGGGCCCTCCTCCCTTCCTCTCACAGCTAGTGTGGGCAGGTGAGTGGACAGCCCCAACCCCAGGCCTGCCTGCTTTGGCCAGAACAGGTCCCCACAGGATGCAGGCAACACGCGGTTCCAGGAAGGGCCTTTCTTTCCCTAGCCTCGCTGTCTCCCTGGCCCTCGGCTCCTCTGGGTCGTCTGTGTACTCTGAGCGTGTTTGCATGAGTGCATGTGTGTAAAACCAGGCCATTGCTGGTAATTGAGAAGTACAAATTATTGCATTACAAACGGTTCGTTAATAAGCTGGCTGCTGGCGCCCGATGGCAGCAGGCTGTCATCGCTGGCTGTGCCTCTCCCCGGTGGCTGGTGGCAGTCTTCTGGGCTGTGGTTAGCGATTCAGAGACCTTGAAGGTGGTAGGTAAAGAGCTTCTGACCGAGTGTCCGTCAGGCCTGCCCCGGGGACTCTGGGCTGGGCGGCAGCAGTACGGGGTTGGGAAAGATGGGAGAGGGAGTCCACTGGGGAGAGGCGGGTTGGCACCATGGCGTTTGAGTTCTAGCCCCTTTCTGTTATGGGTCATTGGATCAGGAAACTGGGAGAGTCTTTAGACAATATCTGTTCAGTTCGTAGACAAGAACACAGGCTCACTGTGGGAGGGACTTGCCCAAGGTCATACAGCTTTGACTCCGAGCCTCCTGACATTCCCTCAAGGATAAAGAGACCTTGTCTCATGCTCCCCGAGTTTCTGTTCCTGGCCCTCCTTACTCAGCTGTGAGCAAGGGTCCTGTGCTTGGGCCAGACGGAGGGAAGTGAGGACACATGTGTGGGTGGGGACCCACCAGAGGCTCCCATGCCCTCTCCCTGATGGGGTGGGACATAGAGAGGGAGCCCGCAGTCCCAAGCATGGGGGCACGGTGCCCTGAGCTGTGGCCGGCGTGCCCAGGACTGCAGCTTGGCTCCGGGCCCCCTCTCATTTGGAAGTCTCCCTAATTTAATTAAGGGTCTCTACGTGCCAGCCTGCACTCTGGGCCTGGGCTCAGAAACCAAGGGCACGGTTCGGAGTTAATGAGCCTTGGACCCATTGCTCAGCTGCCATCCTGGCAGGCATGGCTGCCCTCTGCCTTCCCTCACAGGGGCAGCAGGCAGCAGCAATGGCTAGAGGACGAGGGGTCGCCTCTCTCCTCCCCAGCCCTTGGGCCGGGGCCAGCCTTTTCCTCTCTCCCTTGCCAGGAGATGTGACCTCCAACACCGCCCTCTTGGAATCCCCCGGGATTCTCCAAAACCTCTGCCTCCAAGGAGAGAGCGTCTTCAGTCCTTCATTTATTTAACAAATATTTATTGAGTGTCTGCAGTGGGCTTGGCACTGGGCTGGGCTCTCACTTCCCAGAGACCTGGGAGGGCAGAGGAATGCACAACAACAGGAGCCAGAACTAGAGGCAAGAGACCCCAGGCCTCGCCCCTGCTCTGCTCCCAGAGTGCTGGGTCCATTCGGGCACCTCGCTTAACCTCTCTGGGCCATCGTCTCCTTATCTAATAAAAACAGAGGACAGGCGGGATAAGGTGGCCTGCCTCCTGCCCATCTGATGAGGAGAGAGTTGGCTGAGAGGGGCAAGGACTCACAGTCCTTGGAGGAACGCCTGCATGGTTTACTTGCTCGCATGTAAACATCCCCGGCTCACTTCAGTGGCCTGATACTCGATGCCTTGCTCGGGGCTGCTCAGTGCAGCCAGTGGGGATGTGGTGTCATGGTTGGAGACCAGGCCGCTTCTGACCCGAGTTGGCTTGGCACTGACCAGCTCTGGCCTGGTGTGGTCACCTTAACTAGGACTTAGCTGCCTGGCTCAGGCCCCAGCTGGAGTACTAGCAAAGTAATTGAGCCCACGGTCTCCTGCTTGCGTTGAGATCACTCTGGCAACCCCAGGCTTCTGCCCTTGAGAAGTGTGATTCAGTGGCAGAGGCCCTGTAGATGTGAACAGCTTAAGTATGCAGACCAGAGAAACGGGGGTGCTGCAGACCCTGTGAGGCGTCAGTGCCAAGGGGGTGCCAGAGTGATGAGAGACATCTCAGCTGGCTTCCTGGAGGAGGCAGGTTTCCAGTAGAATCCCACCAAGGTGAGCTGTGGAGCTCCTGTGTTGTGTGGTGGGAAGAGGGAGACTGGGGGTCAAGACACCTCGTTCTAGTCCAGGCTGTGCCAGCAACTGGCTGAGTGAGACTTTAGACCTGTCACTGCCCCTCTGCTGGCTTTGACTCCAACAGCTGTTCAACTAGGGGGTTGGACCAGGCCCCTTCCAGGGCCGACATCCCGTGATCTGAGGATGGATCCCAGCAGCAGAGGCTCCTTCTGTTTCAGTACCTTGTCATTTCTTGAGAGATGGTGGAGAAGCTTCAGTGGCTGCCTTTATCCACTCCTCTTCTGGTCGTCCCAGCCACCTGCACCCTAACGCTTACCTTCCCAACGCCACTCCCCCAGCCCTAGGGGCCCTGATGATATTTGGTCTGTTGTGCCCAGTACCCAGGGATAGGCGTGGGGAGCAAGTTACAGAAAGGCAAATTCTGGATCTCCAAAAGGAAGAACTTTCTAATAATGAGACCCACCCCACAACCTACTCCCCTGCCCTGCTGAGGATGTGCTGAGCTCCCCATCCCTGGAGTTATGCAAGCAGAGGCAGGAGAACCACGTGTTTCAGAAGCCATCCAGTACTGAGTGTTGGAGAAGTGGTGAATCAGAGGGTCCCAAACCTACCTCATCAAAATTTTCTGGGAGACTAGTTTGAATGCATATTCTGGGGCCCCTGCAATTCTGAATCAGTAGTTTGGGGAGAGCTGGCCCAGGAAGCTACATTTTTAATAACCTCCCCTGGTGATAGCGAGCCCTGGAGGTTGACCTCTGTGGCTCTCCCCACCAGAGGGTTTCTGAGAGGTGCTGGGCGGCCCATTTTTGAAGAGAACTTTCAGCCCGTCCACAGCTGCCTGGGGACGTGACCCAGGAAGACCCACATCCTCAGGCCTGGAATCAGAGTGGGTGGGAGGCAGATCAAGGCCAGGTACGCCCCTTTCCCAAGACAAGCTCACCCGCCCCTGCCCGCCCAACCCTGCCCCCTGTCCCTCCGAAAGCCCCGCCCTAGAAGCCAGGCAGGTGTGTTTGGGTTTATTTGTTCTCGGTACCCCTCCTGCCCACCCCTCTCCCCCACTAAGCTGTTCTACATGTAATTATCCATTTTATCAGGGCGAAAGGCCCTGCAATTCACTTGTCGAAGCCCTAACGAGGCAGCGTGGATGCTTTCAAGTCCGTAAAGAAAAGGGAAATCCTGCTAGAATTGGCAACTTAATTCACCAAGCCAGCCTCGACAGACCTCATTAAGTCCCGTGTATTCATTTCAAGCTAATGGCTGTCACGCTGACTGCTGTTTGATCTGCTGTAATAGACTTTTATGGCGTTCCAATTTGCTCCAGCGTGTTCGCCTGCGTCTGTGCCCAGCAGCGCTGCTGCAGCACCTCCGTTAGGGTGCGTGCCCGCCTCGCTGACCTTCAGTGCTGCCCCGGCCGGCCCTGCCCCCTCCACCTGGGGCCACCCCCCTCGGCCCTCCAGCTGTGTCCTGGGAGGTGACCCTGGGGCCCGGGTGTTTGGGCAGGAGGATGGTGTGAGGTTAGAAGTCGGACGGTGCCAGGTGGCTCCTCCGGTCAAGAGGGCCTCAGGGACGGCCGTGTCCTTGAAGTTCTGACAAGGTCAGCCTCCTTGGCTGGGCAGTCGAGGCTTTTATCATCTGGCCTCAGCCTACCTTTCCCAAGTTATCTTCTGGTATTTGTCCACACGAATCCTCCCGTCGGCTAAGGGGCCGACTCAGTGCCTCCGAGCGTTGTCTGTGTCTGTGTCCCTCTCTCTTCTCTCGCTCTTACACACACACACCATGCTGTTCTAACTAGTGCCTAATTCAGTTCTGCCTGTCCTTCAAAGCCCAGATCTGCTTCACTGTGCCCTGATCCACTCAGTTTTTTTTAAATGAACACAACAAACATTTGCTGGGCAGCTATGGAGCAGGGCCCAGGGATTCTAAGCTGACATGGACATGCAGAGTAGAGAAAAAGGACTCTAATGTTTGCCAGCTGTGCAACTGTGGATGGGCTCTTAACCTCTCTGGACTTCAGTTTTCTTATCTATAAGATGGGCAGCAATATTTGCCTTGTGGGGTCGTTGTGAGAGCTGCAATAGTGCGGGTAGGAAAAGCCCTTAGCCCAGTTGGTGGCTCATATTTGGTAAAATGCTGGTGATTGAGACCCGGGTTTTGTCCTCAGGGAAGGTAATTTTACAGAGAGAAAGACAAGTAAGTGGATGTCTAACTACATCTAAATGTATTATTAAATGCAGTGGTAGCTTAGGGTGTGCAAAGCAGGATGGAAGCATTGTGGAAGGAGTGACCTGGTCTATATATAAGGGGCTATTTGTTTGGGACCTTACAGGATGAGTAGGAGTTTGTTAGTCAAAGAAGGAGATATTATGGTATCTCCGAATATCATGTGCTTTCTGAGATCCTTTAGCCTCTTTTCATGTATTGGAATTTCCCAAAGAGGGAAATAAACTCTAACCCCTCACCAGCGATTCTGCTGAGGAGGGGCTATGGCTGTGTAGGTATGTGTGTCCCTTGCAAGTGCCCACTGTTACCTCATGGAAACAAAGCTGGGCTGGAAGTAAGCTCCCTGGGTCCTTGCCCAGGTCTCTGTGACAGACAAGTCCTGGTAGA